TTTTAAAAAAAATTAAAAAAAAAAGAATTCTGGCTCAAGGCAGAAAAGAATTGTTTGAGATGCATCTCTAATGCACGAGTTGCCTGATTGTGATCAAGTCACATAATCTCTTGGAACTTCAATTCTTAGCTGCAAAGAGAGTTTTATCATGTCTACCAACCTTGCAGGGAGCTTGGGAACCCCCAACACAAGGTGTGCTGGGAGCATTTTATAAACCAGAAGGGTTTTGTGACTGTGACAGTGTTATTATTGCCATTCCTATGTGCTGGATCCTGTGGGGGGTACAATGATGAATACCACTGCAGATTTGCCCTCAAGAAACTTACAGTCGGGAGGATAAGATAACAAAGGCTCATAAATAACACTGATTCAGGGTCTATTGCGATAAGATAGAGAGAAAATGGGGTGGGAGCTCAGTGAGGGATGAGATTAGGTATGGCTACAGGGGAACCATCAAAGACCTGGAATGTGATTGCCATTATTCTGGGGAAAAAAAAAAATCCTATGACATATGTTAGATGTTAGGACCAAGAAGAAATAACTTTAGGGTTTTCCAAATCCTTGCTGTCTTCCTATTAGCAAAGGATCATTTATTTATTCATTTCCCAATTCAGTCACCAAATGCTGAATGTCTCATTTTGCTTTGACCCAATAGGAAAAGTAATGGCAGAATCCATTTCTCCCACAGGGTAAACTTCTGTCTGGGAAGAGATCAGGCTCTTGGAAAAATGCAGTTCTTTTGAGACCCATCAGATCCCAGTGAACAAATTCATGCTTTGTGGTCCAATGAGCCAGGCATGGTGGCATGCACCTGTAATCACAGTAGCTCAGGAGACTGAGGCAGGAAGATCACAAGTTCAAAGCCAGCCTCAGCAAAAGCAAGGTGCTAAGCAACTCAATGAGACCCTATCTCTAAATAAAATACAAAATAGGTCTGGGGATGTGGCTCAGTGGTCAAGTGTCCCTGAGTTCCATCCCTGGTACCGCCTCCCCCCAAATTATCATATATTCTGACTCCTCCACTCTTCTCTGGTACAGACAGTTTCCTCAGGGGTCTGAGACTCCTGGGTCTTGGGGGATAGACCCTAGTCAACGAGAAACAGGGAGGGGGCTGCTTCAACTCTGTGCACAGCATCGGGAGAGAATTTGCTCTTAGCTCCTGGTTCTTTTTGATCCACTTGAACTGAGCTTCAGCAGCACCTCCATCTCCTCCCCCAGCCACCTGGATGACATGAACCCACCTACCCAAAGGAACTGACGAAAGTGTGGCAATTGGTTCCTCTCTCCTTCCCCCACTTTTATTTTTAAAAATACATTCTTTTGCTCACTGCAGTTAATTACAACCTTTCAAAAAAAAAAAAACAACTGTGAAATGAAATCTTTCTGGAAAGCCTAAAAATATTTTCGTCTTGCAGGTAGCCTGTGGGAGATTACATTGTGGATTCGCAGTGGCACTGGCGGGTTGTACAGGACAGTGTCCTCTTCCTGGTAAGTTAGTGCAGTCTTTCCTTCCAGTATCCAAGGGTTATGGTCAGACACATGGTTTCTGGTGCTGAACTGCTGTAGGGTCAGTTTATTGGCACAGAAATGCTCGAAACACAAGTCACCATATATTGTTTAAAGGAAGAAGACTCCCAACCTCATTTGTAAATTATTAGCAGGTATTATGATCTTGGCATGAAGGTACATGTTATGGAGATGGGTAGTTCCAGCTCATCCTGCTGGATTTCAAACTAGGAGAAATATTATCCCCTGGAGTCATTATACTAGGTCCTCAAGGCTTGGAAAGTATCTGGGGAAGGTTGGGTCTTCATGAGAGTCTTCTTTCCATGCTATGTCCGATGCTGCCACCACGTGGGGTAGGTGACAAGGGAGTTTGAAGGCAGGGGAAGCCTCTAAACAGCTACCCTGCCACGAGGCTTAGAAGGGATGTGGAGCTTGCAATTTCTTTGCTTAAAGCAAAACCGGTGTGCAAAAATCTAGATTTCCAAAATTTAGATGAGGTGGTGATTATTTGATTTGCAAGAGGATTCCCAAGGTCTCCATTAGTGATGTCTTCCAAATCTATATGGTTGGCTCTGACCTCTCTCCTGAGCGTCAGTCATATATCCAATCACTTCTGGACATCTCTACTTTCATATGTATGTCCCTCAGGCACCTCAAATTTCACCGTGTCTAAAAATGAACTCTTAATTTTTCTTCTTCCCAACCCCAACCCAATTATCCTCCCAGATTCTCTTTCAAGGTTAATGGAATTACTGTGTACCCAGCCAGGAATCTTGTAAGCATCTTCAACTGTCCCTTTTCCTCACTTACCACATATACCAAATAAGGTCCCCTGGCCCCAAGGGTGCCTTTGGAATCTGTGTGTTCCACAGTAGGTGTTAAGCAGGGCTCCATGGTCTCTCACCCAATCTAACCACAGGGTCTCCATGCTTCTCCTTGTAAATCTCATTTCCTCTTGGTTGCCAGGAAGAAAATATACATACTTGATGAGGTGGCTAAGTGCTTGCTGTAAGAACCCTCCATGGCTCTGACCGCTGCCAAGGCAAAGTCCTTAATTTCCTGGCCTGGCCTTTGTGGGCCTTTGGGTTCTGGCATCCATCACTTCTTCAGCCACATCTTCCATTCTATAATACGTTCTCCATGTCCTGCCAGATACCAGTAGCTCCTGTACATACAATGCACTTAAAGTCTTCTGTGTGTTTGCACCTATTGTTTGCATTTTCCCAGCTCTATAATCAGAGAGGATCAAGGTAGAAGTCTGTGCTCAGAGTGCACAGGAAGAGAGGAAGGCGTCCTACAGAAAGTAGCTGCCCACCTAAGGCCTTCCAGGGGGCTGTGAATGAGGCGAAGGGCGATGTCTGTGTGGCAGCCTGGAGTGGCAAGAGCTTGGCATCTGCTATTCTCCGTTTTCCTCAGGATTGAATATCTAGAGCACGGCCATAAAGGAAAGCTGTGGTGGGAAAGGACTTCTCCAGAAAGGGAGTAAAGAGGACCCTTCAGGACACACCACCTCAGACCGGGCAGCTGCAGGGTCTCCAGCTCTTTCCACTGTGAGACTCTGCCCTGGGATTTTCTTTTAAAAGTAATATCAGATTGCAGGTCATACTGGGCTGCATTTCACAAAATTTGGTTCTCTTGGAACCTGGCCTGGCCTTTCTGCATGGGTCTATAATGAAGAAAAAAGGTTGAGTCTCCAGCTATGACTCATAGAACTCCAGTGAAGGCCTTCCAGATATGAAAAGATCTGGAGACCTGCAGGGAAGGGTGAGAGGTGAGGGCAGGAGGGATGGTGGAGTTATGTAGAGTCCCCCATCCACACAGAATAAGCTAAAATATGGCTGGGATGTCAGGCAGGCCCACGTGTCTTGGTTTCCAATTGCAGATGGCCCCTGTGCTGCTGGCTACTCTAGGGAGGGAAGAGAGACCATGTTCGGGTAGTGTATGCAGCAGGAAGGCTGGGACTTCTGCAGTCACACAGACCTGAATGTGAATAGCAGCTCTGAAACTTAGGAGCTATGTGACCTTGAATCTAATGTCCTCATCTGGAAACAGATGATACTGCTTGCCTCACAGGGGTGGTGTGAGGATTAAGTGAGATAACATTTGGAAATTCCCTAGTATGTTGGTTTAGAGAGCAGGTCTTGATGATTGCTAATTTCCTTCTTGTATATCCCTGCACCTATGCCCCCGAAGACTAGAAAAACACTGGATGCTGGAGTTAGTGGGGAGCTTAGAGAGGATGAAGATCTTCCTATTGATCTGGAAAGAGAACACATGGTTCAGGGAGCTCATGGCAGAGATGCTGGGATGACCCAGGGTAACAAGCTCTGCTTACTTCTGATTGGAGAATGTCTGGGAGTTTCCTGCAGCTTAAGCTTGAGCAGGGAGGGGGTGAGGCCAAGGGCAAAGTCTTGGCTTTGCTGGTTCCGAGCCCCACGTGGAAGCTTATTCTAAGCCAGACATTACCCTTTCATGGACAATAAATTTGGAAGGACACTGACCCCATCCAAAATGGTATTCATTCTTTGCTCCCTTCCTTCTTGCCATTTCTTTTCCCCCTGGCCATTAACCATTGTGGGGTGTGCACAGTATTTCACAATGTAAGCAATGAGTTCTTTCAGGAAAGTGACTCTGAAGGAGGTACCCCAACCCCCCACACAAATGACTTAAGAGTGTGTGTGTGTGTGTGTGTGTGTGTGTGTGTTTAGTCAGGAGTAGTGGAGAGAGGGAAAAAGGAGATGAAAGGAAGATCTTTAGTTATTGACTAATTTCAACCTCATGCTTGTCAACACATACTGTACTGAGCTCCATGTGGACCTCAGAAGTGAGATCTAGAAGTAGAGGCCTGGGGAGAGAAGAGCCCAGAAGCAGCTGCTGTGTCTGGGTTGGGTGAAGGTTGTTGTGGAGACTCTCCTCTAAGTTCTCTGTGCCCCTTCACTATCCACCCTTCAGACTTGGGGTGGGGGGAGTGTGCTCCCCAGACTCTGGCTCAGCCCTCTGATGTACTATGTGTGCTACTTGGAGACTTTAGTGGCCCCCAAAGCTACAGGCTGTGAAGCCCATGTGCATTTGGTGTGCTAATCCCTCTGCTGGCCAGGCATGCCCACTGACAAATGCCTGCTCCTCCTGCCCAGCTCTGCCCAAAAGATGCCTCCATGAGACCTTCCTTCACTCTCTGACAGAGGCTGCAGCCCCAACTCTGCTCCTACTGACCTTTACGAACACCTCCAAGACAGCCATTGCCACATGGACTATAACCACTCATTGCCTGGA